CGCCTGTCGTGCGCTAAGGTCTTTACTAAGTTAGACGTAAGGTAAGCTTTCTACTAGATCTAGCTTAATAAGTTAGTAGAGAACCTAACGTCTTTCTATACGCAGTATAGTAACTATAAGTATTAAGTTCTACTCTTTAGCCTCTATAATAGCTCTACTACCTTTTAGTAATATATTAACAAGGTATTATATAGCTTACTAGATAATTTCTATATAGTATATATTAATAATATTCTTATTTACTTAGAGAATCTACTTAAGTATAAAGCCTATATTACCTAGGTACTTAATTAATTATATAAAGCTAGGTTATAAGTAGATATTAAGAAATCTAAATTTACTATTAAAAGCACTAAGTTTCTAGAATTAATTATAAGTACTAATAGAATCTAGAAGAACTCTAAGAAGGTTACTACTATCTAGAATTAGCCTATACCTACAACTCTTAAGAGCCTTTAATTGTTTCTAGGTTTCTACAATTTCTACTAAGCCTTCTTAAAGAATTATAGCTAGATTGTTCGCTCTCTTACTAAGCTACTAAAACAGAAAGTATAGTATGTCTTTAGAGAAATTAAGCTTATAGCATTTTAGTAGGTTAAGAATCTTATACTATCTAATACTATACTAGCTTACTACTCTCTCTATTACTATACAAGAGTAGAAACAAACGCCTTAAATAGCGTAGTTGCTAGAGTTCTTTTACAGCTTTAAGAAGACAGTATCTAGAGACTAGTAGCTTTCTTTAGCAAGACGATAAACACTATCTAGATAAACTATAGTATTTATAATAAAGAAATACTAGCAGTTATCCTTAGCGTATAGAAGTAGAGAAGCTAGTTAATTAGCTTGTAAGATCTAGAGCCTTTTACAGTATTAACTAACTACTAAGCCTTAGAGTACTTTACTACTAAGCGGGAACTTACCGCTAGGTAGGTCTACTAGGCGAACAATATTACTAACTATAACCTTAAGCTTACCTATTAACTAGGTTTAGCTAATATAGCAGCAAACGCGTTATTATAAAAGTAGAAAAAGCTTAAGACCTAAAAGAAGAAGAATTACGCCGCCTATACAAGGGCTTTCCTAAGCAAGAAGTAAATTAGCCTCTTAGCTATTAAGCGATTATTAGGTAAGTTATTAGTTCTAGCTACCTAGAAATTAGCTAGCAGTACTACGGAAATCGCCGCCGCTAATACGTTTATAGAGGTACTCTTTACTAAGAATCTATATACTATAATTAATTAGGTTATTATAGCTAACTAATTAGATAACTCTCTATAGCTAGCTTAAGAAAAAGCTACTATATTAGGCTCCGCCTAGAAAATAGAAGACAGTTTATTAACCTATTAGAATTAATTAATAGTTCTTGCTATTAACTACCTATAAACGTATTTAATACGCGCCGTGTATACTACTTAGGTAACTACCTACCTAGAATAAAGAAAAACTACCTAGTTACTATAAGATTAATATTACTAGCTAGGTATATAAGAGAACGTTAATACGTACGTAGTAGTGTACAAGGCTTACTACTAGAGCTATACTTTATAGAATAAGACGCTAGGTCTTCTAAAGCCTCTACCTATCTCTAAGAGAGTATAGCAGGACGTCTCTATAGATTTTAAGAGCTTTCTCTTTAATAAGAAAGAATTTAACTACGTGTACGTTATTATAGACTAGCTAAGTAAGTAGAGCTTCTCTCTACTCTACTATAAGAAAATTATAGCTTAGCGTATAGCAGAGCTATATTACTAATATATCTAGCGTATATATAGTTCTTCTAGGTCTATTATGTTAGATTGCGGTCTATAGTTTATCTCTACCTTTATAGATAAGCTCTATTAGCTTATAGAAATTAAGTAGAAGCTCTCTACTACGTACTACTCGCAAACTAATAGAAATATAGAGATTATTAATTAATATCTTAATTAGCGTCTACGTCTATTTGTTAACTACTACTAGAATAATTAGTTAGACCTTCTACCTTATATAGATTAGGTATAAGCTACGTTACTATATAAAACTATAGAACTAATAGCGTATAAAGTTAAATTTAGATATTAGCTAGTATACTACTAGAATTAGAAGAAGTGTATAATAAAAGTCTCTACTTTACATAAGCGTCTCTTACGCTAGAAAGCTTAGAATTTCGCTAAGAAGTAGTATAACGCCGTAAAAAAAGCTACTAAAATCGCACAAGGTAATATTACAAAAGCGTAAGCTAGGCAGACGCTCTAAGTAAACAAAAAACGCTAAGAATCTAATTTTATAGTAGGCAACCTTGTCTACGTTAAACCTTATAGCTTTTTAACAAATTAGCCTAGTGTAAAGCTTAATTAATAGATGTATAGCTCTTACCTAATTATTACTATAAAGAGTTACTTCTTCTAACTCTAGCTACCTGCGTATATACGTATATATAACGTCTTTTACGCTAATTAGCTATAGAAAGTCTTAGAGCTATTACTAGAGTAGGTAGAGCCTAAGTAGCTACCTATTAAAGTAGATAGTAATCTAGAATAGCCTGTATATAAAATTCTAGATAGCTATCTTTATTAAAATTGCCTTTAATACCGCGCTATATAGGTTACTTATAACTCTAACTCTACCTAGTATAATGCTATAGGCTTTATTAACGCTCTCTATAAAGTAAGAGACTTTTACGTAGTATACCTAGATAAGCTAGAGCTACTATTATAATTAGATGCTTAAATTAAGGCGTACAAAAAAGAGAAGACTCTAGAGAAGATAGTAGAGAATTTAAAACCTATAAGAGTAGAAGACGCAACAGTAACGCAAAGGCGCCGCTAAGCGATTTAGGACCCTGCTAAGCTTAGAGCGTTGTTTAAGAAGAGAGCCTACGATAAAGCCGCCCTACAGACGTAAAAATAAGCCTTCTAGCTTAAATCTCTATAAAGAATAAAGCGACTAGAAGGAAGGTAGTAGCTATAAAAGCGCTTCTAGTTCGAAACTAACACGAATAAGCTTACTACAAGCTAAAAGAGACGGTTAAGAGCATAACGCGAGAGTTTTAGAAGAAGAGGGACCTAGAAGGCGTATTTTAGAGCTTAGAGACGAGCTCTCTCTATAAGAGAGAGTAATATAATAGTCTAGTTTAGAATTTACCTTAGGTTACATAACCTTAGGTTATATAACCTTAGGTTACGTAATTCTATTACGTAACCTAGCCTAGCGCCTTAGCGCTTAGCACCTCTATATATAGAGTCTCTTAGAGCCTTTCTTCTACTTCTTACCTTTAGATAGCTAAATTTAATCTAACCTACTCTGCTAGCACCTCTTATTCTTATAGCTTGTAGAGACAGTGCTGCCTATAGCTAACTTACCTAGCTAGGTGTTTAGGGACGCTTATAGTAGTAGAGACCGCGAACCTAGCCCTTATAATATAGCTAGATTATTAATATATATATATAATTAGAGAATAAAACTCTAGAATAACTTTTTCTAACTTCTATCTCTTATTACGCTATACCTAGAAGAGCTAGCGCTATAGAAGTTTTCTAGAACTCTTTATTAAGTTATATACACTATATACTATAAGTTTTATAGATTATTATAAAGATATAATACTACTAACTAGAAGTAAACTAGATTTTTTCTTAAAAGTTAGTTAAATACGTATAGCTTTTTAATTACGTAATATATCTTAGTGCAACTTTAGTGTAAGGTGTAATATACTATAAAGAATATATATATAAATTTTTATAGAATAATATTAAGGTTTCGCTTAGTTATTTAAGAAAAACGGGTTAATTTTCGTTGATTTTCCTTGCCAAGAAATCGTGGGGCGTTCGGTGGTGTAAGGCGTTTGGTGGTAAAGTACGTTAGTTATTTAAGAAAAACCTTTTAATTTTTCTAGCTTAGCATTTTTAGAGCGTTTATTTGTATAGAGTATTTGTTTATAAAGTACGTTATTATATTATATTTATAAAAGTAGAGCTCTTAAGAGAGTTTTCTTCTTAGTTGGTAGTTAATAACCTTGGCTGTCCTGTTAGGGAATAGCGTCGGGCTAGCGTCGGGCCGTTGTTGTGCCAACACACGGACCCAGCCTCAATGTCAACGTCGACGCATCCGCACCATTTCCAAATCATCACCACCAACCTCCACCGACCACGTCCACGCCAGCCTCCAACGCACCATGGCTGATATTCTGCAGCCGCGTTCGCCCTATCCAGCGCCTTCGCATCCCGACGGTGGAAAGCACATCTCATCGCAACAGCCCGGTGTCCGGCTTCGCCATCCGGGCTACCCAACAACGTCGAACCTCCTGCTGCTCCTTGCAGCCCTCGATAGCCCCGACGGCGGCATTCATCACGAGACAGTGCGCATTTCATGCGCCATCGTCGCCGGCAATCGATGGGACGGCTTCCTCAGCGAGTCGCGCGATGGGCAAGCTGTCCAAGTGCCTGCTGACGGCATCCTGCACGGCGACGACTACTTCTTCCGGGTGCCGGGCGACGGTGAGGTGACCGAGAACCTGCGGCAATGGAGACGCTAACGCAATCGTGCGCAGACAAGTATCCCGTCGTTCCCTCGTTCAGCCACTGGTCCTTCCCCCATGGCAAACTACCCCCTTCGTGGGTCCGCTGCGCGCCTCCCTTGACGGCCTCCGACCGAGCGCTGCCACGCACCGCATCCCTCACCGATGCCACACTTGTTCGCGACGTTTCTTGTCGCATCACGAATCATATTGAGGGCACTGAACATGCCCATTTGGTCCCTCGCGGCGAGGCCGCCTGGTTCCGTCAGAACAGCATGTTCCAATACGCGAGCCCGCCGCGCCCCGGCACAGATCCGCTCGACGATTCCCGCAACGCCCTTCTCCTCCGCTCCGACGTCCATACTCTCTTCGATCAGAGACGATTCGTCTTCGTGCCGAAGTCCTCAGTCTTCGTCGTCCACATACTGCCGCCGGGCTCCTCGTCGGAGCTAGCCGCCATGTACCACAACGTGCAGTTACAGCCGCTGGCTGCCGTGGCTGTGGAGTTTCTCTTGGCGCGGTTTGCATGGGCGATATTCACTCAGCTCGAGAGCTTCGTCTCCCAGGGTGTTTCTCGCCAAGTGGTCGTTGACGCCGGGGATGGGTCTATACAGGCGAAGGAGTGGTCTGGTCAGAGATGCATGAACGCCCTTTCGACGCCTAAGTCGCGTAGCCAGAGCCCAAAGAAGCGGCCTCGAGACGAAGCCCCGCCGCAAGAGGAAAATGACAAGCTTGATGACGAGGAGGCAGCTCGTGGGCGCAAGAGGCATCGTAGCTTCAATCTTAAACTAGCCCAGAAGGCGGAACGGCGATCGCGGTCTGTCTCCGATTCGTCGCTCACCGACTTTGGCAGCAACAGCAGCAACAATGGCAACAATTTGGAAGCTAGCTTAATTCATGGGCTCTAGTAGCACGTCTCTGGCACATATTAGCTAGCGGGGGTTGAGCCTGGAGGCATTGGGGACTTTTACATTTCAGACCTGGAGACACCCCTCTTGCACCATTCCAACCTCATCGTCGTCAAGGGGAGCGCCCAGGGCATTTGGCTGAACGGAGCCTGGATACGGATTGCGAGGTTGAAGAGCAGGATAGTTTGCGTATAGGAGGAGCTGGAGGATGTGTTCCAGGGCGCAAGCGGTCTTAAAAATAGTCTGGTAAGTCGCCTTGCCTCGCACCCGCTGTTCCCACCAACGTTGGCTGAGATAAACGCAATAACATCAGACAGCTCTCGGCGCCTACCGCCACCACTGCTCATCACCTTCTTTCCCGCAGACGGTGATAGGGGCCGCTCCGTCACGCCACGATCGCATACAATGTCAATACATAGGCATGCGCAATCCTAATCCAACGCCAGCATCGTGGCTTCTCCTACGTCGGCCCCAACGCTCTACCCCCCTTTGGCGCAACTCGCAGCGCTTGAGCACTATCACGGAGGACAATACCAGGGCAGAGGAGGACAGGAATGAGAGGATGATACCCGGCCAGAGGAACGGGAATAAGAGGATAATACTAGGTAGAGGATTATGGGAATGGGAGGACGAACGAGAAGACAGGCTGAGTAGGCATATCCTTCAAGACTCTGTCGCGATTGCTTGGGAACGCGGTTGTTCGTTTCTCAATCGCTGTTCTTACACCTCGTAATCTCTGGGTGATCCCAGGCAGTTTCATAGTGACCCGTAGCAATTCTTAGGCAATAGTACATTGGACAACCTTTTCTCTTTTAGGTCTATTAGTTTTAGGATGATGCCATAGGCTAATGTCATGTATCTAGTCTATTCCCATGTCAATAATACACGTCCATCTCTCTCATATTCAATCTGGCAATGTGTTCAGCCATTCCTGAGTTGCCAAAGAGAAGGCTGGAGATTCGGAAAGGCAAGAAGCTAGCGAGGGAAGATGATGAAGATGGCAACTCATTGTCCATCACATCAGACTAACGAACACAGAGCATCTACAAGAGATGGCCATGTTTGAGACTGGCCTTCCAGGGCCATAGAGTCTCACGATTCGCCCATGCGTGGAAGATGGCACTGCTCCTCATCTGCCGCCTAACACAGTTACGCTTCCACGAAACTCAGTTATAGAGTTAGGGAGAGGAGAGAGGAGGTACTCAGTGCAGGGGTGTACGACTTACCCCAGGATTTAGATAGTGGAGCAGATGCAGGCTGTCCAATTCCAGTCTCAGCTCCACAATACCACGTCAGGACTTTTTCATTCTCAGTCGAAGTGCTAACTTCTCTCTCTCCAAGACTGCCCTCGTCGTTCCGTACGTGAACGCCATTGGGGTCTTCCCTTATATCAAGGTTAGCCAGGGTCGTCTGTCCCGTACGTCTTAACAAGGTTGTCCCCATCGCCCCCCACGCGAGCGATGTCCTCGTGATTAAATATGCTACCTTCTTCCGAGAGAAGGGCGTTGTCTCCAGTGTAAGACATGCGTTCAGCCGTGAGGAGCGCCATGTGCCTCACGCGTGCTCGAACGACGTTCTGAGTTGCTTGGGGATCGCGATCAGGGTAGAGGACGCGCTTGCGGACGGGGGCCGGTGTTTGCGTTTACCCTCGGGGGTCTAAGGCTCGAGTGACTGAGACTGGCCTGGCTCAGGGTAGCGAGAGTCGAAGAAGACCCAAAGGTCACGCATCTGGACCTTGCGCGTGCTAAGCTGTTGTAATGCGAGGTTGAGCTTCGAGCATCGCCGGGCAGTCAGAGACTCGGGGAGGAAGGCCTTGGGCCGCAAGGCAAGCCGCCGGCAAGAGGTCGAAGAAGTGGTGAATGTCCAAGTATCCTGGCAGATGTTTAGGATCTCTCGACGAGCTTGGTTGTGGCTGGCGCCAGCGAGCGTCGTTCACGATGCTGTCAAAGGCCGACTAGATCGAGTCCATCGCGCCATCGTGGCGGGCAAATTCGGCAATGCCAGCGTCGATGCCAGCACTTGTGAGAATCATGCATGGTGGGGTTATGGTTGGTGAGTGAGGAGAGGAGAGGAGTTCTCTGCGGCCGGTGGATTGCGCTGTGATGAGCAAATATTACGTCACCACCGAACATCATGACCACTTTGAAATACTGCCCTTAGTCTCACCAGTCACCCCCTAACCCTTGTCTCCTATAGTCTAATCATCTACATCCGCGATCACATGAAACGGACGCCGCCGTTTGAGATTCGCGACTATGCGGAAGCGCTCTTCGCCCGCCTCGTACGTATTCAGCGCCACGTGCTCGTGCAGCTGCTCAGCGTCGATGAGGGGCGCACTCGCGAGAGCATAGCATGCATCAGCTGAAGGACTGGAATACGATGGAGTTGCAGTCGCAGAATTGGAATGTGCAGTGGAAGAGGGCTTCTCAGAGGTGTTATGGGATGTTGAGGAGGCTACTGCGCGCTTCGGAATGCGTCGACGCCATGTTTCCTGCATCGCTAGCCAGCACCCACAACCACGAATAGAAATTCTATACGGCATCTCTATTGATTACATCGCAAATCTATCAGTGAAATGTTGGCACATGCCTGTGAGGAAGGATGAAGAGATGCCGGCTCTGTGCTGGAGAACCATCCATAAAACTTTGACTAGAAAAAACTGGGTACATGCATATCACGACAACCGGGCCTAGCGTTCCACCTCGCCATCCGCTTTCTCTACCTCACTCTACACCCATCCACGCCTCCTCCACTGTATCTAGCAGCCGTCGTTGGCATCTCCATCATCACGCTGCCATCTGTACGCATACTCTGCGAAGAGTGTCCATTTACAGTGCGTGCAACCCCAAGACGAGGGCGGAGCAAGAGCAAAGAATTTCGATGCAGAGGGCTACGATTAGCTGATTGAGGGATTGCGCCGCCGCGCTACGAGGTCCTCGTTGGGCGGATCTTTGTTGGAGGAAGGTGTCTCTTTATCAGAGGGTGAGTCAAGACAGGGTTTCTTGTAGGAAATGAGGAGCCAGGGGGAGTTGGGGGTTCCTGCCACTGCCGTGACCACGGCTGCTCGAACCCACGCTGGAGGTGGTCACGTCGATATGAAAGGGGGCGCGAAGATTCGAGTGCTGGAGCAAGCTTGGAATCAAGTGAAGAGTTGATAGAGTATAGGGAAACGCTGGCCTGGTGAGCAATACTTAAGCGGGGGAACTTTTAGAAAGAGTTTGGATTGTTCAGCATGACAGGTTTCGTTCAACGAGAGTGAAACCAGATATCAAGTCAAAGAAAGCTTAGAGGCTAAGCCCAATGTAATCAAATGCCCTGCAGCCTGGAGCAGACGCATGGCAAACCCTAATCAAATTTGGTTGCTTGGATGGAGGTCCAACTGCAAATAACGAACGTCGGCGCTTCTGCGGAGATGATCATGAAGGCACGCCAGCACCTGAACCTCATTACGCAGTCAGACTATCATGGCATGGCTACCATCTCCCAGGCATACGAGGTGCACCTGAGCAATTCCAGATGGATCCTATAACCGCAACCTGCAGCAACGAGGACAACGAGAACGGCATTTCAAGAGTGCCTCGTACTCTAGGAAAGGTCGCCACGTTCTTCTCATTGTTTACCACCCATTCATCCCTGCATCCTCGCGAAAATCATCCTCTAGAAAAGGTCGCCACATCCTTCTCATTATTTGTCGCTTCATTCATCTCCACATCCCCACCAGCATCATTATCATCCACAACCGCTCCGCGGCGGCAACCTATGCTGCAGCTTCTCCACGCCCGCGCTCAGATATTGGGCAGTAGCCTGAGCCAGCAGATCCGCGCCAATTTGCACTAGCACGTTCTTAGATGAGCGATCTCATGGGCACAGTGAGCCGCGCTCTGGTTTGCAGAATGCCTAGGTTGGTGAGTTGGGTCGATTATCCGCCGGGGACGCCTGCGTTCCGTCTGGATGCGTGACATCTCAGTCTCCACGACGGCGATGCGGATGTTGGTGCTGCAAATCGGGCCTCATGCTTGGAGTGGTACGCCAGAATCAATTCCGCGCTTCTAGTGATTTGTTGTGCACCTGGAGTGAATGTTGGGCTTGCTGGTGCTCATCTTCATTAATTTGGATGACCTGTTGGTGCTCACTCTTCAGCAGGCTTGACGGTAGATACATATCTATGTGTTAGTGGCTTCCTGGACGTATCACTAGGTCTCGGCGCCTTGAGTGCACCGTTGTTGGGCACGCGTCTCCACTTCTCGAGCATACCATTGCTTCTCCTCTCGAGCGTGTAATTCTGCACTTGGGCTTCCTGCAGGCGTCGCTGGGCCTCTGCGATTCTGGCTCTCGGCTTCGTGTAGACGTCGGTTTGCCTCGCACTGCTCCTGTAGCTATACCGTACATCCAATCAGGCTGCCAAGGCCCTATGTTTCGTTGCGAAGGTGTTGCAGCTCGCCGGCCTGGCAGTCGAATAGGTGTGCTGCACCCATGCCTATGTGGGGGAATGTGTTCGTAGAAGCTATCAGCGGCGCTCCTTTACCTCCTCCTCAAGCAGCCCCATCTCCTCGGTTTCCCTACGCAGCCCAGTCTCCTCAACTCCCTCAACTCCCTTAACTTCTGGAACTTCCCCAGCTTCTGCAAGCACCTCACCCCCCTGAAGTACCTGCCCCCTCAACTAACGCTGCCACAACGGGAGCAGTACGAGCTCCCCGCTGGGATTCAATACCATTTCCGCCAGCGTAAACTCATCTGTAATCAGTTCGACGAGGATTCGGATGGTTTGCACAAAGTGGACGTGCTGATTTCTCAATTTGCGAATGAATGACGGCAGCTCTGGAAAGCCATAGCTCAGTCGGGACGCTTCTCCTCTGACCTGAGCGCCGACCCCATCCTCTCTACCCAAACGCACACAACCTCCGCCACCAAGGATGAAGTTAAGGATGGAGCCGCAGCTGCCAGGAGGCGCGGTTGAGATTGTTATTCTGATTCTCACTTGGACGGCAATCGTTGTCCTGATCCTAATCTAGATACTGGTTCTACTTCTAATTCGGAATCAGACCCCACTGAGCTGGAGGGGGCGGAGTGAGCGGTTCTAGTGGTGGTGGAGGAGGTGTGTGTGGGGAGTGTTGGTGCGTGTAGTTCGTAACGGCGACTCTCAATCCTATATAGCACGCGGCCGTATATCGACGTCACTTTACCAATAGCCAGTCCACATAGAGCTCTTTGCGCTCCAGCAACGTCCTGCCCTTGTTTCGCCTAAAGACTAGTCAAGACTAGTCAGTACTCGCGCGCACCCTGTATTGGCGGAAATGAAGCCGGATCAGAACGACTGCTGCTTGTCGCAGCAGAAGAAGGGTCGTGACTGGGACTGCGGCTGAGGCTGGGCCTCCTTGAGCGAGAAGAAGTGACCGAACGTGACGGAGGCTTGTACAAAGAGCCAGAGCTTGATAAGGAAGAGACTGAGCTTGCGGTGGATGAGGATAGTCCAGATGGAGCTGGAGGCGGCATGGACGCTCACGTCGGGCACTGCGACGCAGCTGCATCGAATGGTTCCCTCGCTGCCGCTACATAACTGCTGCATGCACGAAACTGTCTGCAAGCCTGCGATGACCAAGATAAAGATGATGGGGGTGCAGCTTTGTACATAGTGCGCCGGACTATGCCTCTTTTAGCATCGAACATCGAGCGAACGCTTAGTTGATGCTTAACCACCTCTTTCTTACTCCAATCTTCTTCATTTCCCCTTTCCTTTAATCGCTCGTTGCCTGCTATTCTTTTGGACCAAGTGCTCTTCCTTCTATCGCTCGTTGTTCGTCGTTTCCGTTGATTGTTCTTCGTCCCTCCTGTGTTTACGCAGCCATCCGAAGTCAAACGGACTGGTATGAGAGGTGTGGGCTTCAGTGGACAACATCGGTATCAGTGTCGAAGTATCGGAGAAGGACCTGGCGTTGAGATCTCCAACAGAGGGAGAGGGGGCCAAGAGAGTTTCGTGAAAAGGGGAAAGGAATGGGGGACAGAAGGAGGCGTTGAGAGGATCTCATGTGGCATCAGCGAGGGCTGCGGTCCAGACTAACTGGGAAAGTAGTCGAACGATGTGATGTGGTTGACATTAAAAGACTGTGGAAGGCTGAGATTGCGGTGGACAATTCCCGCTGCTGGATGTCGTGAGTGGTAGGGTTAGCAGAAGGCTCCTGAGGTTCAAGCTGTAGTGCTGAAGTATCAGGTTGGCGATATTGTCAGCGACGTGTTGCTTAATATCTTTAAGCATGGCCGAACAGAGAAAGTCAGGAGCAGATGTAGCGGGTAAGGCTAGAGTTGAAAGCTGTGGACGAGATGCTGTTATCAAGGGCAGTAATATACTGGAGAATTCGAGGTGCGAGCTGTCAGGCAAGCTGGTGCTGAAGTTAGAGTCGCGACCACCATAGACTACTCTAGCGAATCCGCTAGGGCAAGGTACTTGCTCTTGGATGGGCTGGATGAGCTTGCATTAACCCGTTTTGGCTTGGCAACCCCGAGGCCAAGATCCAGCCCAGAGGGATTGGTACCATAGATCGCATGCAGCGGGCCATCAGCCCAGCATTTACCGGTGTGACGGGTTCCACCACGTCCCACTGGATAGGAGCTCCGTCACTCTAGCTTGTCTGCCACTAATGCGCTGCCACCTGCCCTGCTGTCTTCGGCACAACCGCCATCCAGAATACCTTTGCAACCACTTGCGTTCCTACAGGACCCGCTAATAAGTATACACCCTGGATTCAACTCTGGGTAAGATACCAACGAGGTAGATGCAGCCGCGATGTTCAATGTTTGGCCCCAGCCTTGTCCATCGCTGCCCCAGATCCATGGCAATGGGGCCAAACGGATGGGCAGACCCAAGACCCCACCGGAACCAGCCAACGAAACGCTTCTCAGAGCCTCTCATTCTGGAAACAGGCATGGCCAGGGAGACGCTCGAACTCATCCATGATGTGGTACTAACTTCCATCAGCTCACAGTCGCTCTGGAGTAACAACACTAATTCAGGCTGCAACAATTCCCCCCTTATTGCTCCAATGAACCCCCAGCCAACAATGGCCATCAGACCCCTCCGACCCTGTGTTACCGATTTCTACCTTCGCCGACGTCGAGCCCTACAACGCGCCGCAACCGTAGGAGGTTCTTAACATCTGCTCCTCCCCTTTCTTAAGCCATCAAAATAGTTAATGAAACGGTTCGACGGGTTTTGGATTGGACCCCTGCCGTAGTCTTTCTTGAGAGATCACTACTCACCTCTATCATCATCATCATCACCGCCACCATGCGCGTAACTCCTGCTGGCTTTCGCTCATGCTAATTCCCATGCCTCAGCATGAAACTTTGCAGATAAGAATGGCAAATAGAACCTCTGTAGTCTGAATTAATTATTTACTACGACGTTACAAAGACCCTACGGATTACTACTCTCGACCTCGGTGCAGGCCCGCGAATCTTACCAGATACCTCCTAGCCTCTCGAATCCCAACGCCAACTTATTCTCCTTCCTGGATGTCTTCAACATGATGGCCTTTCTTTCGAAATCCTTTCAAAGAGGAGAAGGACGAAGAGAAGAGCTAGCTCAGCGATCGCCACTCTACCTTTTTGCATTGCTCTACCACAACCTATCCTCCTGTTACAAGCACAACCATCTCTAATATCTTGACCTTCGAAGACTCCAGCTCTCGCTTTTTACTCTGCGGCTTTCCACCGCGTTTGTGTCCGAACCTCGATTACGTAGACGCATGGGGAGGGTTCAGAACACAATCACGCTGAGGGGTATTAGGGCAGTGATAGAGCGGAATAGGGTAGCGAGAAACTGAGAGCAGAGTAGGCATAGAAAAAAGTAGAAAGGATTTTCTTACAGAAGGGGAACTAAGGGACGAGCTCGCGGTATTTACACAGGCGGAAGAAATTGCGCGCCATCTCAGATTTTCGACGTTTGTGGTGGGCGATACCAGACATGAGATGGCGGGGAAGAGGGCTATCTATTTATTCGACAAATCCGCAGTTTTTCGTGGCTGGCAGACAACGCCGATGCCTTGCTCCGCGATCGCCATTCAGTATCAAAGAACTGCAACCAAGCGCTAAGATCCACTGCCGCCTATTCGCTTCAAGTTATTACCTCGGCGCCATAATCTTACCTGATCAGACATGGCCCACGCCACCAACGCATCTATGGATCTTGCACCCCTTGAGCTTGGGCGGATGCAGTAGAGCAATACAGAACACGATCAAGGAACTGGGTTTGACCATACGAGCCATGCGGTCGCTAATTCCTTCAATCTCGTCAGGAAGAAGATGCTGCCTTCCTATGTCTTCCACCTCTGCCGCTGCATGACGCGCAACACATCGACCGTGGGATATCCAGTGGCGTCTCTGTGCGCTCCCTTTTTCGTCTATGCCCTCCTAGGTTTTGTCCTCATCCAAATGTTGAGCATCAGCCTTCCACCTGACTTCAGCCTCAATTCTCAGATGAGACGAATCAATGCGGCTACAAAGGAGACGGCGTATACCGTATCGCAACCATCTCCGTTGAGAGTGAGAAACAGAAGAGGGCCTTGGGATCCCAGATCGCGGTGGGCAACTACGAGCTGCGAAGCCTAATTAAAATAGCCTGGTCTTTCGAGCTCCATCGGCCAATCCACAGAGTATCCATCTGACCAGACTATATTGTCTATCCTGAAGCCTTTCGTACCGTGCTTCGGCCTTCAAGCCGCAGTGCCAATACCTAAGCCCGAAAGAGCAGTCTGCTGCGCGCTACCTGCTAGCTAATTCAGGGTCCATAATCAGCTGGTTACGGGCTCCTCGATTTCAAGGTTCAAGTAAGCGTAATGTGGATTAGACGAGGTATTTCCGCCTCCAACACACAGCCAAGTACTCCAAAAGATATTACGACACTCATCAGGACTTCCTACCAACGCTGTACGAGAGAACGGCTGTAAGAGAGCCGTCTGCTGCCGCACGCGGCGGAGGTCTTTAAGACCTTCTCTTCTCCCACTGACTATATATTACAGATGTGACGTCCGCGTCCTCAGCCACCCGTCCTTCGCTTCTCGCCATGACTAATGTCTGGAAACTCTCCTTATCACCTTCCGCATGGTATCCTCGAGAGCTAGCGCTGGCTGTCCATCGTTTCCAACAACAATGGATACAGTGAGCCTTTGAAGCGGCATGATCGAGGGTCGGGCCGTCTCAGTGAATAGCATGACATGATGCAATTGCGCTGGGGGGGACCCAGATTCAGGTGAGAAAGAAAATCCGGAAGCTATGAATAGATTTCGTGCTCAAGGTAGAGGTTCAGGTTGTTTACTACTCCTGAGTTACCATTCTAAGCTGTACGTCGACGCTGATGTTAACCTGTTTCAACACCGATGTTAATGCATTCCCACGGCGAATGTAGACAGGGCATAGAGTTGAGAGCCATTGGTACTCCGACAATACCGGTGGGTTTCTCCATCATGCTCAACCCTGCAGCAAAATTCCGAGAAGTTACTTTGGACCATTCTGGTGCCTCTAGCAGCATTTGAGTCGCGTTCTCCCATAATCTGATAACAACTATGAGCAAAGAGATCACGCAACATTTTTCCATTCCAACAGTGACCTCCTTCTCAGAACCAACGTTGGAAACCAACCTCAATAGCCACACACTGCTACTCGCCTTTCTGCTGAGGGGGTGCGCGAAGAGAAGCGCCTGGAGGAGATCTGAGGTATAGATGGAGCTCTGCGTCACGTTCCGCACCGGTTCTTTGAGAAGGGTTGCAGATAGGGACAAAGCTGATGTGCTTGGAACGACAACCTTGCCATCTTACCCTCTGTCGGCTCCCCTGTCCCTGCACTCTTCAGCACCCACATCTACGCCATGCCGTTGTACCCTAGCGGCCCATATGCAAAACTGAGCGAATGTCGGCGTAGCTGCTGGCAGGGACAGGAGTGGAGGCGGTGGAGATGGAGGTGCTATAGTATTCTAGGTCTGCTGGATCTACGCTGGTGTACGGTCCACGAAATCCTCGGGAATGGCATTTGGACCGCGAGATACGTACAGGGCTGAGCTCACAGCACCCCCCGCAGTCTTCCGAAGGGCACGCTCTGCCGCCGACGCCTCCCCACCTAGCGTCCTCGTTCTATCATCCTTTTCCGCATGATACTATAAGTGCTTGGATTATCGAGAGGGGGCCAGAGAACGACCAAAAAAGGTTGATATGATGAAGCATCCAGGATACACGTTTCTGGGCGATATCAACGAGTTCTCTATTTTCGACGGGAGACTTTATTCGAAGCTGCGAGAATTGACGAAGCGGACGCCGTTTGGCGGTAGCTCCATGACCAAAAGCACACGACATCGTTGCATGGTTATCGATGAAATCGCTTGGAAGATGCGGGCTTTGGTGGAGGGAGCAAGCTTCCGCGGCTATTCCAGGATTGAAAGGCCAATGAACTGGAGTCCATGGGATAGACTTGTACGCTCGGCTGGATCCGAAATCTCTCTGGGTCGATGGAATAACCTCGAGACCCAGCATCGCCGTATCACGTCACTGAAACAGGGACGAGGAGCACTTTATTATCCAGCACCTGCAGCAGTTTCGTCGGGATATGCAGTGGACGACGTCGTTTGCGCGTCCCCGCAGAGTCGCAGACAAACGTAGGTTCAGGCACTTAGGATGATGAGGCTGTGGTGCGAGAAGATATTCATCGTTGAGGTTGACGGAAGAACAGTTGCAATGGCCCCTGAGGTATCCCGTTTGCGAACTGCTTGAAACGAAGAGAGAAGGGTTAGAAGCAAAGGTACATGGGAACTGGAAGGCAAGAGGGTGATGTTACGTTGGAGCGGAGATGAGTTACCAAGTATCTGGGGTTCAATACATATACTGGATATACCTCTGTCAGCGCGGCACGTCACGGGCAATCAGAATCGAAGGCAACGAACTCCATCATCCTCTCCTTTAAACCGAGTCAAGCGCAGAGGACTCCAGGATCAATGCCACAATGGAATGATGACTAGTCATGGGATTAGCTAAAAAGCCCTCAAGTAGCTCCTTCATAAATACACCCAAAGCTTGTTCCTGCTCCACCACCAACCTATTCCGTTATCCTTGTCGCCCTCAGACATGGCCCCATAGAAAAGAAAGAGCTTGCTCAAGTACGCTTGCCACCCTCAAGACTAATAACCTCGACAACCTCAACCTCGTCACGCAACTCCCATTCCCGCGCTGCACACTCTGCAAGGTTTATCCCAAGATAATATACACCCCGCTTGTTAGGTTCCCAGGCCTCGAGACATAGATAGTCGTCAACAAGAGTATGCCCCCTCGGACCATCCACTGGAATAGCAAAGATACCCTCCACTCTCCCAGCGCTTATTATTGAAACGGCGGCATATGGCGTCTCCGTAGAAATAGTGGCTTGAGTGATAGGGTCCGCTCCAGGATCCGCAACGAAGGCTTCAATCTTTCCAATGTGGATCATTTTCGTTGTGAATCGTTTGCGTAAGGCAGCGAGAAGCTCTGGGCTCAAGTCCATGGCGGGTGCCGCTGCTGGTATTACCTCCGGGGCCGTCGCGCTGGGGCAGTGCGTAGTACTCGGGTTCGAGTCCTCTGCGGGAGCTGCCGAATCCCCAGCCTCATCCTCGGCCTCGAAGATGGGAGAACTGTTCTTGGTGGATTCTGATGCGGGCTTTGAGGGTGCTGCTACAGTTACTGCGGGCGCCGAAACACGTATTTGGTAAGAGCTGTACAGAACAGGACCGTAGGCTTGTGCTAGGTTGAATCTCGGCTCAAATCCCTCGAGTATAATCTGCGGAACATAATAAGGGGTGCACATAACTGGAGTGACGACGAGTCGGGTCTTCGTTCCGCTTGAACTTCCTAGTCCCCAGGTGCGGGGATACGTAATGGCCTTGAGCGCACATCTCATGTCCTTTTCCTTCTCAGGACTCCAATCTCCCTCGAGCAGCTGGTCAACGTTAACGTTAGAGCCATACCAGTCGAGCCATTTGTAGTATCCAAAAAGGACTTCTTCGGTGGCCTCTGATGATTGGGGCTGGAAGTAATTGCGTAGTTGTTGCTCGACTGGAGTACCTGGGGATGCTGGGGCCCGTTGCTGCTCGAAAGCGGCATAGTCGTACTGGTTAGACATGGCGGTTGTGCGAAATATTGGTGGTGGACTGGGTATGGGTTATTCATTGTGAAGAGTTGCGATTGGGCTTTTAATTGTTGGAGTACAATCGCCAAGCTTCCTAATCGGGCACTAGCACCACTGGCGCCACAGAGATTTCTTCCATTTCTCGGAGCTATATACACTCAATACAATACACTCACCACCCAATATGTTGTATTCCTCAATTTCCTACTTCAACATTGATTTCGAGAACTCTTGGCGATCTGCCTCGGTTCCGAGGCGCACGGCCCTCAGAGCTTCTGCTTATCCAAACTTAGAGATAGATATAGCTCTTATACCTCTCACGCACGCTAATTGGGGACAACCAGGAGGGCAGGATGTGGTTGAGCAACTTGACTGTATTTATCAGCAACCTATATCGATTCCTCGACCAAAGCCTAACCATCACAACGACCTCGAGAAAGTTCCATTAGTTACCACCTGCACACCTCCACAGAATCGGCGAGAGCCCCCATGGCAAACCCAGTCCTAGGCATCCAAGATTCGCTCTTATACACTTCCAGAGTTTACCTTCTGGAATTCCTCCCACATAGAACTGGCCAGGAAATAGCCGATGGTAGCCATGGCCGCTTCCGCACATGCCCAGGCTCGTCGGCTGCTCAAATATCCGTTCCAGCTGTCTTTGTCGTTGTTCCGCTTATGGCCCTTAGGGAAGTCGTACGTATCTGAGCAATACCCGCATGGATTCCAATAGTTGAACCAGCCTCTCCATGCTATTCCGATCCCATCGAATCCCCCAAAGATAGGCGCCTGTTGGTATCCATCCACATCGCGAAGCGCTTCCGACCGTTTCTTTTTAGGCTTAGATTGTCTAGTCTGGTTTGCCTTGTCAAAGAAGGGTTTAAGGTGATCCTCATAGAAGGGGGCCAATTTGATAAAGTCGTCCCGGCGCTCAGCAAGACGCTTGACTTGCTCATCCATTATTGCTTTGACCTCGTCGTCTATAAGGGGTGGTTTCCAGTGTGGAGCTATTCCGCGAACGAACCACATGCTATTGCAGGAAGGGTTGGGCGCAGGTCGGTATGCAAAGAGTGTGAGGCGCTCTATGCGAATATCCTGTTCGTTGGTGACTTCGTAGGCCTGCTGGAGTTTGATGACTGCAGTACTAATGATTAGCGAGACGGACCCCGCGCAAGAGGGGACTTAGACTTACGGAGGTCGCGCATTTGTTCTTCGTTCTTGGGTACCTCTACATCATGATGGTATTTTTCTAGGAGGTATTGGGGTACGAGTTCGGGCGGCATTAACCTGGAGACTTCCGCGACAGGGGTAAACTTCCAGCCTTCAGGAAGCTTTGCCGCAAGCTTCTCGTGAGTTTCCCGGAAGCTAGCCCTCATGCGATCTACCTTCACCGAGTGGAAGCGCTCCTTCTGGGGAAGTAGACAAGTCTCCAGCTGGTCCGTCACCTCCAAAATATCGAGCATATAGGGCGCCGCCTCCAGTGGGAGCTTTCCGTCGTCTAGCAGCATCTCCTCTGCGAACACCAACCAGTTGCGCAATAGCTCAAGCAGTTGCTCTATGCACAAGACTTTCGAGTCGGTCTCACGCCCCCAATCCGTTGGAATTCCGATTGGCGCCGAGAACCGAAGCGGCCGAAATCCCTCTGGTAGACGGAACTGCCGTTTGCACTTGAAACACCGAGATTGCGCATGAATCTGATCCAATCGTTCGCGATGGACCGTTCCGCATTGGCCGCAGGTTGGGCGGCCAGTTGGATGTAGGGAGACTGCTATTTCTGCCATTTTCGTGGGCACGGGTTGATTTCGCGGCGAGGGAGTGCGGGAGTACTAGGTTGTGGGCTTGCAGGAGCGTGGGAGCGCGGGAGCTTAGCTACGCCTAATGGTCCGGGAGCGCGAAGTTGCGCCAAGCTGAAGCCCGTGTGCTAAGAGTCACAGCAGATGGATGTATATAAATGGTGCGTGAAAGAACTCATGGTACGCGTTGGGCTGGAAACGGAACGCGAGACTATAGAGCGGGGCATTAAGGGGTCTACAGCTACGAATAACACATGCTCAGTCAGCCGCTCGAAGTTTCACTGTCAAGAATAAGCAGGATAGCGAAGTCGTGCTCTACTTCAACCGTCTGATCTCCAGCCTCACTCCATCCACTCAACGAACGTCACCTCCACTCCCCGCACCATCTCTTCACCACAGGCCTACTCAAAGTTCTAGACTATTCTTCCAAACCTCCTGTAGACAAAGGGGGTGTTCCCTAGGGCAGCTAAGAACCTTGTTAGCGATGAAGTGGTTACCGAAGCTCATGGCCTTCTAGTACATCATGGATTGCTCCACAGTTCCAAAGAAGAGTCCGTTTCACGTGAAGGGCAAGTTGTACTACTGACTAAGCTTCTCCTATACATCCCCAGTCCTCTGGAATAGCACGAAGTCATTTCTGCTCGCGGCGTAGGGCTCCTTCAGGTGGCCGACAGTGCCCCTGAACGTGGTCATTAACGTGCACATGTACGCGAATTTGAAGTATTGCGACGACACAGAGTGGTTGGAGATTGCCAAATATGAGAACGGGAACGAGACTATGAAGATGGTGGATAGTACCTTAATCACCATCGCCACTTACCAAAGGCGGAGAAAACCTCATCCACGAACCAAATCAGGGCAAAAGTTTAATCTGATCTAAACACGTCTCCTCCTTCCCGCACTCTGAGTTGTTTATCATTGCGAAGAACCGCACGTGGACTAATAGAAGCTAGATCTTGAAGGAGGTTGAAATCAGAGGCACGGCCGCAACTGGCTTGGCAACTAGAGCTACGGCGTCCTCCGCGAGGACGGTAGTAGGCGGATTGCTGTGCGTCAGCCTACCCAGGGACGCCTTCTCGAACATCTTCAACACTCTCTCCAGGAACTTTATTGGAGCCACCTCCAAGATTAGTGAGGCGGACATTCACTTCTTGGCTACCGCGCACGTGAGTTCTTGCTCAAGCCTATTCAAGTCTAGCTACCATGATGGGGACCTGAGGTTTACCGGGATCAACTCTGTCAACTACTTTAAGGCCCTCGCCGGGCGCACCTCTATGTACATGGCTCTGATCAGAATGCTCACTGTGGAAAGTATCCTGTCCATGAACTGCCTTCGAAGCCATAGGCGCGTGCATGGTTCGCAGGACTATAACCACGAGCGGATACGGAAGGGTTAGAGCTATTACTCTGCGGCTATCCCACTCCTCTTCTCATGCTTTCTGGTTCCGAGGATACTACTCCATCTTCGTCGAACCACCAGATGTGTACGTTGGAGCCCCTCCCCCCCAGAGAACAGTTGCAGCGCAGGTGCTGTTCTTGACCAGAATATCACCTGCACGCCTTGACTTCGCTGTCGTCACTGCATAGCACGCTTTCTGTGGAGCTGCAACACCGCTCACCTGCATTATTGCATATCTACGATCTAACCCACCAAACGAAATTATCATATCCTCCTCTTTCCTGTTCCGCCCTTCCAGCCACCCCCTGGCCTACGATCTCCGCACCGCCACTTCGGCATTGTTCTAGCGTAACGCAAACATCAGCTGCCCCTGGGCGGAGCTTTCAGAATGACCTTCCGGAGATCCGGGAAAGGGCCATGCACCTCTGTATCCGCATTTCGCTCCCCCATCCATTCGTTCTCTAACCTGGCACCTCGGCGACTACGGAATTGAGCCCTACGCGTATACCGAGCAGCGTCGGAGCTTCAAGGATGGCCGAAAGGGAAATCCGTAGGCTGGTAATCGAGGAGTGGATGGCAAAGTAAAAGGTGCAGGCACAGGCCGTAATGCGCGAAGAAACTGGCAGAGTCTTTACCCAGCAGAGACTTTATCAGGGGAGGAAAGAAATGTACCACTACGGCAGTTATTTTTGCGATACTTGCGCTGGGTCAAGCGAGTGAGGTGGTGCAGAGGGTGCGCAGCCCTATACCCAAGAGGATGTCGATGCCGTCCCCGCTGCCCTGATTCTCCATTCTTCGGAGCACGTCGTCTGAATTTGGCCAAGGGAGAGTTGCAGTCAGCTTGAGGAGGCGCAACACCTAGAAGACTAGATTCAAAGCGCCGACAGGGTTCCACGAATTCCTTCCTGAGAGAGCCTTTGGCGCAGCAGGGTAGTGGGTTCAGCCCGTAATGCCGCTGCGTATGAAGCAGAGGCGTATTACTGCGTGGGAATAGTCCTCCCTTGCCAGAGAAATTCTACGAACGTCGCGCTTCAAGTCAACTTACGCGGATGGATCCCTGTATAGACGCGCGTGGAGTGCTGTTGCGACCGCGACGACCATAGAGGACACTGTATTCCTATCATCCCCGCCTCGCGCAAGCCTATCATCCCCTTCCTTTACCGAAACCTCGAAGCTGGCAACCATAAGCAGCTCCGACGCCGTAAAAGGTGGTAGGCTTGACAAACTCTGGTGCGAGAGCCCGCTTCTCACGTGCCACAGCCGCTCGTTTGTTCACGCTGTGGTACTTGAGGGTGTGGTTGGCGACGCGGTCCGGAAGAGTAACGCGTAGGCGCTGGTGAAGTCACCGACGAGGGTGATTCTATCAGGCAAGATTTTCCAGTCGCGCCGATTGAGCGTCGTCTTGATAGGGTCACATTCCGGCCCTGTCAAAGTGGAGCGCCGAGGTAAGAGTCAATTGTCAATGGCTCTCGTGCCAGTTCCCTGTTTCAAAATTGGAAATAATACGCGGTAGAGCTCGCTTCAGAGCTCGACGGTGGCAGGCACGGAGTCACCCGTTGGGATGAGATATGGCGAGGCGGGCCAGGTGGAAATGCCGACCAAATTGCGCTGCCTGAGCTTGAGTGGCTTTGGGGTTGTCTGCAAATTATTCGGCCCATCCATGACGACCACCGCTACCATTCGCAACACTGCCAAGGGAGTGTGTCTGACATTATGTTCGCTGTGCCAAGTAGAGAGTTCGCTCGATGCGCATCCGTGAGGACAGCACGAATAGCCAGAGCAGCAAGTGTGATGATTTTATCCGAGAGAAGAAGGCTACTAACAATATAGCAGACAAGAAGAATCGGTGACCATGGCACACGCATTATTCCCACAACCCAATTTTTTTTTTCTTCCTCAAACGCCGCCACTGGCCCCACTAGCTCGCCTTTTTCCAACTCCAAGCCCTCTTCCTTAGCCTCTAACCTAACAATGCACCGTAGCAGCCAGTGTATATCCTCGCGTCTAAACTACCTATCCCGAACATTGCCTCATTGCACAATGTGACGAGCTGAGTGTATCTAGCCAGGCCCAGCAGGATAGCAATTAGTCAACCCTGCACAGAACGTTGTACCTCGACGCCCTAAATGGGAGTATGCCAGCGCCGATCAAAGACCTTTCCAGATGGGCCACCTATCGCCGGGTCGCTTCCAAGCCTCGTTATCTGCCTTGGTGCCCACAGGTGTCGCGTCCAGTCCGTGTGTGGCAAAGGGCACCGCATTCCTTCCCTGCTCGGATGCACGCACACCGGCTAGTCGTGCATCCTTTGATACAATTGCATGCCAACGGATTAGCAGCACCTGCAGCGGTCTGTTTGTGTGCCGTAAGTGCATCTTCCGGCACAGGAAGTTTCGTACACCGCATGGCCGGGGCGCGAATGTCGTTGAGGTCTGGGTGGCACCACACTGTGCACCCAGCTCTCCTCGTCATGTTTTCCTTAGCACATGGGCACTTTGGTCCACATACAGATCCGCACTGGCAGGACAATTGCGGGAGTAGTTTTGCTTTCAAGGAATTGATGGCCTCCACGTCTGCTGGCGTGATTTGGAGTCCGTAGCCTCGCAGTTGCTGTATAGAGAGTTCCTTTGCGGCGGCGTCGAGAAATTCATCGTCTTTGCCAAATGGGGGCGATGGACTTGTGGGCGCTTTGTTGTCAACGGACATCTCGGCATCTTCTGCTTCCTGCTCCTTCGCCAGCGTGAGCAGGCACTCAATATACTCTGGCAGCTGTTTTGGCACTTGCTCATTCGTCGTATCCAGATGCGTCATGATGTATTCCATATTCTGCATGACATCGGCTAGCCCTTCTCGGGGCCATATCATCCCCCCAGCCATAATGGCGTCATCAAGAGTGATGACGGAGTGAATGACGCAATGGCCTGGACGCATGATCAATGTGTCACCTGGTCCAAGGAGGATAAGCTTCCAATGTTCGGTTGGCAAATGGCGCCTGTTTTCAAAGTCTTCCTTAGTCTTCTCATCCCATATGCCATCGTAAATGAACCAAAGCTTGTACCCAGACAGACATGTGACCCAAGTTCCGTTGAGGAGGTCGACATGTTGCACAGATGGAGCGCCCCTGTCCGCGAACAGACAGAAACGATGGCAAGCGGATAGGTCATGAATCCAGTTGAGCATACTATGCTCCTTGCCAGCTAGGTTGCCCTTATCGCTGTAGAATTCCCGTTTCTCAGAGTGAAGCCGTTGATAGAGCAAGTCAAGCAGATCCCATCTAAGACTTCGTATCGCCTGTGGCTCAGAGACGCTTCGAAGGATGTCTCCAGTAAGGTTGATGATGTTGCGAGGCAGATCATCTGCGCGAATTCGACGGTATTCATGGGCTTTCATTCGAAGATTGTAGCGCTGGAGGTATTCCTTCCGGTCGTAAAAGACATTATTTCCCTGTCCTTCTTGGTAATCCTGGCCTTCCAACTTCGTGTTAGGATATGACCGGTCCATTGCAGTGGCGAAGGCGCCAATGTCAAATGCAGGGTTTTTGTGTGCATTTCGCAGAAGAAGAGCGCCGACATTATCTGGAAGCTTCCACCCACTTTCATGGCAGGCATTGTCCAGTTCATCAGTGGTCGTCACAAGCACTCGCAGCTTGGAACTCGTGCTTGCAGAAGGATTCTGAGTCCGTAGACTCAGGAGCGAATCAACCTCTTTCCAGTAACCGTTTCTGTTCTCGTCCATGATGTCCTGGAGATCGTTGTACAATGCTACCAGGTGAGGTCCGGAACTCTTGCCATAGGCTGCCACAAACTCTTTGATCTCATCAAAGAGAGCATCAACCCGGCCAGTGTGGGTTTCCCGGATTCTCAATTCATTTTCAAGTAGATGATCTCGATTGTCTGGGCCCGCGTTTGTCGAATCCTCCATAACGGTAATTGGTCGCTCGAGAGTAGTCCCATATACCTGAGCCTCTAGCAAAGTGCTCTTATCTCCAGGTTGGGCTGGTTCCGCGTTGCATGAAGGCCCGTCAAGGGCTCGAAGATACTGCTTCCTTTCATTGATCTCCTTGGTTAGGGCGTCATCCTCGTCCTGGATTGCTTGCATAAGAGTTTCCCGCTTGGATGCAAGCTTGGTCGTGATCGCGGTAAAGATATCACCTAACTCTATTGCAGCATTGCGGAGTCTGGTGGCGTGCGAGAGGATGTCTTCCGCAGTACGCATCTGTTCCTGCACGCGAGTCGACTCAGACACCATGCCAGCCAAGGTAGATTCAACAGCTGCTGACTTGTATTTCCCTGCGTACTCTTGCATGGAGGCCTCCATTTCCTTGCAGCGAGTAAGGCGTTCCTTTACCTTGTTCAAAGACGTTACGGCATTGCCACGGAGGCTATTGGAAACTCGAACGGCATGGTCGGCGAAGCTGTCGGCGTAGCGCTCGACATACTTCTCGCGGGCGATGGTATCTTCCAGCTCCTCCATTAAACGACGAACCGCAGGGATGCTACAGGATATGGTCGTGGGTGCATCGCAAATTTTTGTCTCGATATATTCCATTAGTCGGGCCTTCAAAGCTTCGTCATCAGGTCGTAGGGCTTGCGCCAGAAGCGTCCGCCACAGGTTGGGCTCTATGTCCTGGGGTAGAATGTCTGGACAGCCATCCAAGATAAGTCTCCATGCGGCGAAAACAGTATATACACCGCAATTGTATCCATCTTGCTGTGTAGGCACATTTCCATGCCAGTTCTCATTCAACGTGAAAGTATGGTTGGGTGAAATTGCTTCGCCAATATGTAGCGCAATGTCTTCCAGATCCTGGAGGGGTGTTGACCTAGGAGCAGAATCAAACAGAGAGATCTTCTGCTCCTTATCGTAATAGACGAGGACCCAATGACCTCCCGGTACTGGGATGTTGAAGGGGACAATGACGCCCTTCTTGGAATCGTACCGGTTATTCATCCACAACGGTTTCCAGTGTCGAAGTAGAGACAATGAGGATAGGTTTCCAGCATCATGGAAGAGGACCTTTTCCGTTGGGGCAAGGCGGATCAAGCAATCTATGGTGTTTCCGGTAAGCCTCCCGGTTTCTCCTCTCGCCTCGAGCTGCTGGACAGGGTCGGCATAGGTGATTCCCAAAGACTCTTCTGGGCTCTCAAGCTCCTTCTCCTGGATGGCCTGGGGTATAGATGAGAGTTCTTTTGTTGACTGAACCCTGTGGACATGGCCAGTCTGGATAATAGCTGGGGAAGTTTCCACTAACGCCAGCTGCTCTACGGAGTCCGCCGGGACGCCAGCTGAGGATTCCACTCTCGATTGGACCTGTTGGACAAACACGGCTGGAACAGTTGCTGGCTCTGGGTGGTTTTCAACACTGTCGCTACGCTCTTGGCTCGGACCGGCGGGGACAGGCCCAGTGATAGAATCCCGAGGAGCTGGCGCGTTATGCTTACAACGCTTGTGACTTCTTCTACATGCGTCGCATGCTTCGGCGGCATATGAGCGTTTCGTTGGGGGATTCGCCGCATTCTTGCCCCATGGTAAGCTGCGAGTCGAAGTCAATGGTAGCTTTATTGATTTGGATTCCCATTTTTCTTGCGCTGCCACGACATGCTTGCATTGAAGATCCCCGTGGCTTTGATGTTCCGCTTGGATTAGCTGGAGCACAGCTTCACCATTGTCGGGACAGTCCATAGAGTCCTGCCAGTCGGCGAGCGCTAGCAGCAGTGTCCGCTTTCCGAGAACTTCTTTGCCGAATTTATTGACGATCCTGGTGAGAGTGAGTCTCCACGGTCCTGATTCGAAGCCGTGTAATCGTGTCTGGCGCTCCGCAAGGTTCTTTTGATATCGGCCACGGTCCTCAGGACTGCAAGGCGTCGGCAGCGCATCGAGAAAGGCTTCCAAGGAAGCGAATCCTTTGAGGGGACGGAACTCCGCGACAGGAGACATGCTGTCGCCGTTAGGTGAGAGGATTTGGAAGGAAAACGTCGTGGATCGTTGTTGTTTGCTAGAGGTTCAGGGTCCGTGCGCAACCCGACCCGACCGCGTTGCCCAATCTGGCCAAGCGCGCTTTTTGCCCATGCATCGCGAGTTCGAGGTCTTCGGAATTACTACATAATTCATGTACAGGGTGCAAAGAATATGGGAAGCTTTCGGCGGCGTAGCAAGGTATATTTTAGTAGGTTTGCACCTTAGGGACGCTCCCATTGTTAGGTCCGACTTTGCAGCACTGTTCTTGGTAGCCCTCCATCTCTGTGTGGCCGTGGTCGGAATTAACGGATTCTGCACTATGGTTAAGCAGAGTGCCAGGGACCTGGTTGATGAGTCTCTTTAAGATGTTCCCGACTAGTTTGCACGGCGCTGAGGCGGTATCTTTAGACTCCGACATGCGGGAACTCTCACGGCCCGAACGGGGTATCTACATGCTGGAAACAAAACATGACGTACGAAAATGGAGCAAACTATCTCGAGCCCCTTTTACATTCTTGGGAGAGACTCTGACAAAATTTGCACGCTGCGGAGGCCATGTTGTTAGATTCCGACATGCTAGGCTACGATGTCCCCCTTTGGGAAACATCGCATGCTGTAGGAAAATCATGCAAGCCTTGTCAGATCCGTTTAATGCTATGAGAAGAGCGGTTAAATAACTTCTGCACACTTCGGACTGCTTGGTGCATATTCCCGGCTTTCGTATGTTCGGCACTCTGGGATGGGCGATCTATACTTCGGAAAGAATGCACATTGCGTGAAAATGATGCACACCTTGTAGGATCCTTTCGGACTCATATTGAAAGCAGTTAAACAACTTTTGCACGCTACAGAATGCCTGTTGCGTGTTTCCGTCTGCACACTACGACTGGCGATTAATTCTTCGGAAAGAACGCACATTGTAGGAAAATAATGCAAAACCTGTGAGAGCCGCCCAAACCTATATGGAAAGCGGTCGAACTACTTCTGCACACCATGGAATGCCTGGTGCGCATTTCCGGCTTTGCGTGTTCGGCTTACTAGTACTATGACAGGCGATCTCTTCTTCGGAAAGAACGCAAATTGGGTAAAAATAATGCAAACCACAACAGATGTCTTCGCCCACGTTCTCCAAGCATGCTAGAAACGTTTGCACATTGCGGGACGTCTTGAGCCAGTTTCCGGGTCCCCAGAGCTGCTCACGCCGTAGTGAGTGCTCTATTCCTCGGAAAGCTCGCCAGCTGTATAAAAATGATGCAAAGTACATGAAACCCCTCCGGATCCGTTCAAGGAGCATGCAGAAGAAGTTTGCACATGGCGGAATGCCTTGGGCGAGTTTCCGGTCTCGCATAGTTGTTCATGCTAGCATCTGCGATGGGTAACCGATTGCCCATACCCTCAGGGAAGGAGCAATGGAATTCATGAGGTCCCTATATCCCCTAAGCCGCCCCATGCTACGCCCTCGGCCGTTCTCCCACACGCTCGCCGATATCAAGCATTACAATTGCCGTGAGATCGCGGGCATGCTGTGGTTCAGGTCGTCTGATGTGAGGTTTCTGCGCTAGCCCACGGCTTGATTCCTGATACGGCAAAGCTCTCCCGCTTAGCGTCTTGGCAAGGAACGTCACATCACCACCTTCGACACCACCTGTGCAGTCACGGATACAGATGAAACTTAATTGATTGATAGAACGTCGATCATATTTGCACGAAGCTTGTATAGTACTATGCGTCGGCAATTTCCTGAATAAACTCACATTTCAACCGTAAAATATCTTTAGCAGTTGCTGGAGCAGACTGTAACCATGGGTAAGATAGGCGGCAATGGAGGGCTTGCAGAGAAGGGGCTAAACTTGCGGTCCTCCAAGACCACAACCGTATAGTAGGTAACCACAGCATGGAGATTATAGGATATCGCCTCGTGCCGCCCTACTGGTAGGGAATAACTGAATGAGCAGCTATGTTCCAGCGCCTCAGGACACCAGTGCTAACAAAGAGCGGACAGGCGGGGTCTATTAGTAAGATGCTGATGTCGTGCACCGAGTTCGTAGCACCCAAAACGCTAATTTACGGACACTAGGGCCATAGACGCTCCGTGCATTGGCTAGGCAAAGACTAGAGAGGTGACGCTTCCCTTATAGTCCTGTTCCTTAATAAGTAAAGCTCGAACGGAAGGACACATCCTGATTAGTAAATTTCGTTTAGCATTCGTCATTGCTTCCGACGCCGAAGCCAAATCCCATCTGGATAGCTCTTGATGCATGTATGTGATGCGGATACCTTCTTCTTATATTGCCGGGTGCTGCTGATTAGCCAGCATTCTTTGTGGGTATCTGTATGCTTTCTTTGGCAGCAGACTGGTACGCAGCGGCCATGGGTGAGGCGGGGTATGGTGAGCCATGAGCAACGTATCGAAATCGGGCTCATTGTAGGCCGCGACAATGTAAAGGGTGCGAGTCGGTCGTTCGGAGACTCCGTAGTTTTGTCGTCGCCTGCTACGTTGGTAACGGAGGGAGTTTGGGCCTGAGAGAAACGTCAGGCATAAGGGGATTCTTATTGGTGGGGCTTAAAGGTGGGTGTCTTGCGAGCGCGTAGCGTCGAAAGATGCAGGAGGGTGACTGGAGTGTAGGATGTGATTCGCAAAAGAGAAGATCACCTTACGTACTTGGCTTGTGAAAACTGGAAATCTTTGACTAGTTGCAGCGACATATAGTAAATGGCTCGTTGGGCGTAGTTTCGGAGACATAGGAAGTTAAAGCTTCTAGAGTTGTCCTCCGCCCTTAGGTATCATGAACTTGCGTGTGCGGAGTCGCCGCAGCAGTTACAGTAGGGTGTACAACGACCTCGCCATCGCATCTCCAACTGGTCTGGATATGGAAACGGTACTCGGGCATCTGTTCCGTCCCCTCCGCCATTAGAAAGTTACCATTGGCCCCCTTACCTGCCCTAGATGCTCCGTATACCCTACAGCCTCAGATCGCTGGTTTGGGAAGCGCCTCGATGTCTACGAGAGAGGTCCAACGCTAGAATTCGCATCGATTGAGCAGAGCGCGACTCCGTCAGAAATCGGGAATACCTGGTACGGATGTCTAAGTATATGTTTCTACCCCGCATTGCGGTATCCACGAGTCTTCTCGCGCTATTATTCTCCAATGCTCTGGCTAAGTCGATACTTCGTAATCCCTTCACGCTGTCCTTTAACATCCCTACATCGACGACGATTAAGCCGGGCGCGATTACGAAGGCTGGGGCCTGCGATGGAGAGTTTGAGCAAGAAAGTAACCAAGTGTAAAGTACAAGCCTGCAAAAAGCCCTAATAGAGTTTGGAACAGCTAGGGAGATTAGACGCGGCTTGAATAGAGATGGGAAACTAGTGCACCTGTGGCAAAGCTGTGCTATTGAGAGCAATGACGGCCGCAGCAGTAGTAGTAGAACACTGCACAGGATGGTCGCAAGTCGTTAACACTTTTTTGCCATGATAATCTGAGATCAGTCCCGTATAGAAGGGATGCATCTGTCGGAGCATTATTCTCGTCCATCTGGTGGTGTGGGCCACTCGACATCTTTGAGAACTATACTAGTGCATACCTTAACGATTAGCCAGGCAGCGGCGCTTCGGGGTTTAGGGCCTGACAATGTTTACGCCATTGGCAGTCCGACATGGGCCTGTGCTGCACCTCGTAGTGTGTTTTGCCAACATGCGAGACACTAGAGGCTCTTAGGTCTCCAGATCTAGAGCAATCCTCCGTAGGCCCGGCTTAGGAATGAACGCGCCTTGGAGCGCTTCGATAGAGTTTATGCAGGCCACTTTAACGGAGAACTACCCCGTTCAAGGGCTAGGATACATGCTTGGCTGCAACATTCGAGCACAGAGGTGCCAGAGAACATGAAATCTTTCTCCAAGCTGCAAGACGGTTGGCCAAATAGGTCTGAAGCCATACAAGCGACCACGTACTCGTGATCGCGGGATAAGAGCTGTGGGGGAGGGAGTGGTAATCAGCACTGCCTGCATGGAGACGGTCGCGTTGCTGTAGCTCGGGATCTATCAGATTAATATTATCTATCAAGAGAGCGCAAAATGATGCGAGAAATGCCGGCATTTTGTCGACCTCGAGACCTGAGGCGTTATTAGGCAATGGGGTGTTGTTTTCGGTTCCACCAACCACACGTCTAGTTCCGCGCAAGAGACTCGTGTGGCGTAAGAAGCTAAACCTATCGCTGCGTACTATCCAGAGGCTCTGCGCCATTTCCTTGCTCTTACCCCACCTAATTAGGAGCTTCTTAATGTCCTCCGTCAGTGACTGCGGATCATGCTGGCTGTTGGCATCCTCCACCATATCCATGTAGCTACTGCGCTGCTTCTGTTCGCGGTGGGAGACGACGATCGAATCGTTTGCGTGATCGAGGAAGCGGTAGCGAAGCCAATAGAGTGGAAGTAGTAGTTCGCGGAGATGCGGTAGAGGTTCGAAACGTCGACGAGTATGTGTCTGCTCACATTTCTCCTAAGTGCCAACACTTCTGCCATCTACAATCTAGTCCCTTAACGTCTATCTCTTGTACACCGTGTGTAGTACCCCGCCAGCTGCCTTATGCTACATTAAATTAAAGAACTAGCACAATAGGACAGAGTGCGCTTAGAAGAGTACCAGGACGCCACTCGCGAAGTAGTACCAACCCTAATCTCATCGCGTTTGATTACCAAGAAAGCATATTAGGACGTTGATTCTGATGCGTTGCGCTAGGCGAGCCATGCCTTAGAACACGACAAACCTACGTATTACAGCCGTCGAATTTCGCCGGGCACGTAGGCTGAGTGTGGCGGGATCGTGTCTGAGATTCAGGGCCAGGAGGAGTGTTCCTACTTGAGAGGCGCAACTCATCATTACAGCCATGAGCCACTTATCATGGAATGCAAAGATGCTAAAGTCTCGCTAAATGGACGTGCCGTTGTCGAAAGAACAGGCAGACAGGGAATGCAATTCCTAGTCGTGGCCGGTTCTAGGCCAGCTGGTGTTGTCACGCGTGAGGTCAGGGACGATTTCACGTTAGGGTCTTTGCTATTAGAGCCGTTGCGATGGCAATCTTCTTGCTCTAGGCACTACAGACGTTATCGAAAGCGTCATAATGCTTAGCACGAGCGGCAATAACATCACGAGTTCGTGAGAAATGTTGATCCTAGATGATGATCCAGAAACTGAGAAATTCTTTTCCTAGTTCTAGTATTGTTGTTCAGCTCCCTCGCCGCATTAGAGGCCCTAAGGATGCCCTCTCGGATATCGACAATCGCATTGCCAAGCGCCGTTTCACCCTTCTTAACTACTACAGCTTCATGGCTAGCAATAACACGAAAGCTATAGTGTACGTTAGCATGCAGAAACTACATAAGACAAAGACGCACCTCTCCGCCGTAAATCCCTAGGATGAATCTGTCTTGATATGTTCGTTCGTGCCCTAGCAGCCGGAGGCTAGTCTACCGCAGCGGTGCGATGTATAGTTGGCAGCGAAGCGGAGAGTATTAAGACGAGAACAAGAGCGAAGACGGTAGGTTTTTTAGACTATTTAGGAGAGAGTACGAGATGTGGAACGTGGCTTAAACGTCCCCTACCAGTTATGTCTTTTCTAGCTACAGAACTTAGATGCTCCGCGTTCTGCCACATAAGTAGCGATCTGGGATTCGGTGGCCGTAATTTTGGGTCTTTTTGGTAAGCGGCATCGGCTTCAGGCAGGCTGACACCCCATAGCAATGCCTAAGCCGTTGGGCGGTAGAGGAACTAACGGGCTTCCTGTGCTTTCTGCAGTTTAAGCTCTCCCTGCTGGACGTCGGTCGTATTCGCCTTGATTACCTCGTTTAGCGTTACGATGGTATCCTGCAGGCTCATGTAGCAGTCACCGGCACCGTCATTAACCTCCTGATGCTCAAGACGACGTCCATGGATGACGAGCAGTTAGGGAGCAGCTCACATTCTTCTGGCAAAGGGCGGCGTCTGTTGAGCATTGCCTGCCCCAACTCCTCTTCTCTTGGTATAGTCGTTAGACCTCTACTTGAGTCTCAATGAGGGCATTCGAGGCTGCAACGCCTTCAGTGTGGGTAGAGCGTTTGGCGGCAATAGCAAGTTCGTGTTCGAGTTCTTAAATATAGGCTTAGAGGGTGCCGACTTAGAGCTGGGAGGAAGACTTGTCTTAAGGGACTAGCCTATATTGTCTTTAGTAGTTCTATTCCCCCTCTGCTTATCTGCTTCTTAGGAAGCGGCTTGGAATCGCCAGCCACGATCTAGTGCTAGATCTGCTAGAGTCCTCCCTGCTTCTGCTAAGATAGGATCCTGATATCCTCGCTTAGCAGTCGTCTATCTCATAGAGGGTGCGTGCTTCTATACGGCTCATTCTTCTCTCTACAGCGGTAACAGGGTCGATCTTATGCTTATAATCTAGAGTATTGTTGAGATGTTCACCACTGCGGGGTAGAAGTCGCTGCGAAGCATTCCCCAGAGCTTGAGGAGTTTTAGCTTCGTTCATGCGGAGCACCTTTAGCAACTTCCCCGCCATCTTCTGGCTACTCCGCACATGACGATGCGTGTTGGCGATGTCATCGTTCGTCGTTCTTTGCAGACAGCAGGTCACTGTGAAGGGCACTGCCGATTGCCCGAGCTAGCCAAGAAGGCGGACTATTTTAGGTGGTGGAGAAGCCCCAAAATGGTCATTCTGTAGGTCAGTCCTATTCAACGGTGGATCCACCATAAACAAGGCACGAGAGCGCTAATTAACATTCGTGACGTTCCGATAAGTATCCCAAGAGATTGATCGACGTCTTTGGTGCTCGTAATGCCTCTTTGAAGCATGCCTGGCTTAGATCTAGCTCTTCTTGCGTGATAGCGGCATGCCTGGAGACCGATGCTTGGAAACGCGCAATTCCATGCTCTGATTCTTCCTTTGTGATGGCTGGCAGGCGATTTAGGGAAGCTCTCGTCGAGCTGTTCGCGGGTAAGACTGCGCGCAGCCAGGGTGTTCTGTAAACGCGGAAGGCCGCTATTGAATTCGTCGTGAGTAAGGTTCAGGACGAATAGTGATAAAGAAGACGGCGAGGCAGGCTGAGCGACGCGAACAATAATGGTAGGCCAACTGCCGCCGGCTTAAGTGCTGAAAACATGGCAAGTGCGCAATTTGATGTGATGAATCTCGGTGTCGAGGGGTTTTCGACGGCGCCGTCGATGCTAGTCCCGTTCAGGTATAGCGTCTCAAATTCGAAAGTTGCCCCGCTGGCGGCTTTTTCGCAACTACCAACGATTACGATGCATGGTATATCTCTTGCTGCGCGATTGTACTCTCCGTCATTCTGACTACCTCGAGCTTTTGCGTTTTTGCCCATGTTCTTCGCTCCTAGCACCATCGATGTACGCCTGCTAAGGAAGCACCAGGGACACTGGATGCGAATTTAATCCTAAATACAAAGCGCACGGCCTGCAGACTACTTGCAACAGATGCACGGAGTCTCTATGCTCGTACGTTCTCCTGAGGGCTCTTAACTCCGGGCGCCTTTCGGGTTAACTCTGGGAGGCCCTAGCAGCGAAGACGCTTCTCGCCCGCGACGAACGCTTTTCCGTGGTTTTTATTGCGCGATTGGACTTTCAGCTATTTGGAATAGGTTGAGTGACTTAAAATGTTAAAGTTCTGCTTCGTCGTAGTGTTGCGCGAAGGATAGGTCTCGCAATCTTCGAAGGGCTGCTTAGCTAACTTGCGTGTTATTTCCACCAGTCTTGTCAAATCAGGGATGCAAGTTAGAGATCTACTGCCGACATCGCGGCGCGGCCCGCATTTGCAAAGGCGCTCGGTCCGGTATGGGGTGCGCATCTGGCAGGGCTGGCAGAAGCGACGCCGCGACATGTTGGCCAGCGGCGGGTGGCAGACGAAGCTCAATCAGCTGCCATATTCCCACGATGTGCCCTTCTTCTGTCTTACCCTGTTCACCCTGATCTTTCGGTTCGTAGCCGGCCTACACCGTTTTGGGTGGCCAAGAGGCAGAGGCCCCAAATGGCGCGGCGTGCCCCTCTGGTTTACCGCTGCAATTTTGGGTGGCCAAGAACCCCCAAAATGGCGCATGGCGTTCCAAGCCAGACCATTTCGGGTGTTCCCCAGCCTCCAAAATGGTGATTCAGAGCAAGAGCATATTTCGCACCCGCCATGCCTCATCAATGCCCATCCATGCTTTTAGTGTAAGGGTTGCCGCGATAGAAGGCTGCATAGTTAAGCGCGACCTGTAGAATGTGTAAACCTCCAGCTAGCTTTGTGCGCGCGCTTAGTCGCGAAGCCCTAGAACGAGACAGCGCGCCTCGCGCCATATCGCGTCGATGCCCACTTCAATAGCCCTGAGACAGTCCATCGGGGTGGCGCGGCGTCTTTATCGTGGATGCGCCGATGCGCCGATGCGCTAACATGTCGCGCATGGGAATTTGAGCTGTCGCTCGCGTAGGATTTTACTAGCGGTAGCCTTTGCAGCTCGTACCCTTTGCCAGCGCAAGCCCAAGGTTGGCTGCCGCCCACGTGACTAACTCTAAGATTTTAGCCTTCTGGGCTCTCCCACATTCGTTTCCAGCGAGAAGGGCACATCTTGCCGCGACCGAAGACGCCCCTCTCCTCTTATCTTATCCTTCAACGGCAGCGTCACCTCCTATTGTTAGCCCCTTAGCTTTCCTCTCCGCCGCCGATTTTAAGCCTGGGTACTGCCTTATCGCGTCTACCCTCGCCATCTTCTCGCGTCGCATCGCTTAATACAAGGCATAGGTGCTACTCTGCTACAATAACTACGCCCTAGGCTGCATTACTACCACCTTGCTCTATCGCTATAGTTATGCGCGTAGCATTAATTTTCTTACACTCCTTCTACTAAGCCTTAACTTTCTTAGCCACAAGCTCTGCTTCTTCGCTATCCAATGCACTCGTAACAACGTCTCCAAGCCACTGCGCTAACATTCTGCGCGCTTTTCTATAGCGGTGAGAGCTAATTTTAATCGCCGTAATAGTGGGCTGCCGCTAACGCCTACACCAACGGGAAGCTCGCCTAACATCAAGGCAACTACCTTGAATGCTAGCTGGTAAATGCCACGTTATCTAATCGAAGCTTTTGGATCTAAGAATGGCCACTAACGCTATCAATGCCACATAAACTGGAGAGACAGTAGAGCCGGCGAGATCGCGAGCGGATATGGCCTCGCTACGCACGATGATTACAGAGCAGTCCAGAGAGGCGCAGAAGCACTAGCCGACATTCGCACACACTTGCCCAACACAGAAGTAAAAGAGTTGGAAGGAAGGAAGACTATTAAGAACTAAGATGAAAAGGTGGCAGAGTTCGCAAGCGAGCTTTACCGCAACTGCTATCACCCTAGATGTAAGTACTCAAAGAACTCTATAGATAACGAAGACGCTATTTAGCAGACCTCAGAGCCTTTAGTGCCTTCTTAAGTTCCGCCACACTATTTTTACTCTTTGTGCTAGTGAAGCTGACCTTTGCAGACAAAAACGCACGAATAAGGGATCTCCTCTACCGCCTTAAGTATATCCTAAACCGCTACATGCAGGACATCAGCTTCGTATTAATAGCGAAGACATCTTATGTTAGATTTAAGGAGTTTGGGCGTGTAAGGCTTTACAGTTTCGACGCGAATAAGGCCCAGAAGCTCGTCAACAAATACCGCGCCAACATGACTCCACAGTCACTATGAACTTTCCCAACTCTCTATCTCTAAGAGGCGAACCTTTCGGAGCGCAATTAGGTTATAATTAACGAACTTATTTAGTCTCCAAATCGGCGTGTACTCCACGTTTCTCGCGCTTTCGGTATCCGCCACACAACCCGCGCAGCCACGACGACTTTCTAAGAAGAGACTATTAAAACTATTCTAAATAACTTGGATTGCAAATATTCGGCACCGCAGACTACTAGGTACGTCTCCTATTAGATGCTTGCTTCTATAACTTTGCTAATTATGTCGCAGTAGCACAGTTCTAAAAATAAATCGCACCTAGCCCTCGCAAAAGGCTGCTTAAACTATTATCTAAACTGTCTACGATAACATTCGCCGCACGAAGGGGCTCGGCGTTTTGCTCCATGTGTTTTAGGGACCAATAGACTCAGAGCGTGCGTTATCTGCGTTGTTTGACGTAATGCCTAATACTACTAGTGCAATGCTGGGAGAGCGTCTTTTAACATCCAACACAAACCTCACCAAGCTTGAGACGGGTCTAGGTGGCAGCGATCTGGATCTCGGCAAGGTGGTGTGGCTCGCAGCCACCAACATCGACAGCGCAAGTTCTACTATACGGGACACCTATAACACTGCCTGCGACGCGTTTAGTCTTTATACCACAACCTCTTGGGCGAGGTCTCAAACAAGCACTTTGCGCCACTGCATCGAACTTAACAACAATAATCTGGATTCAGCTCTACCACACTTCCGAGCTGCTAAGGCTTCCGTAGGTTCGCTGCTCATGCCGTACTAGCAACCGGCATTTGCGATCCGTGTCCAGGCTCTCTGATTTTACAACACCCACATCACCTAGATTATCTTTACTATCAAGCCAGTCCAATGCTCTTTCCATTAAACTGCGAGAATGCAGCAGTTGGGAACCTGCTACTTATAGGCGGAGGTGTATTCCCTTGCTCTTAGAGCAGAACGGCTATCTTTTAAAATGTCTCAACCCTACAGGTAGCTACAAAACTTCTGCCGCCGAACAGCACATGCACAATCTGTTCCTAAGGTCTATGATAAGCGATGCAAATCCATCAAGAACTCGCCTGAGGGTCTCTATTCCCTTTGTAATCTCTTGCCTCATGAGCACTAACTTGTTGCCACCTTCGTCGCTGGCATTTGTGTACCAGCTCCGCGCGAACACATCCGGTTATTGGCTCCAGGTCGAGATGCGCTAGGAGGTGCTTGACCAGTTGTACTTTAACGCGTGGTTTAAAGAAGTCGAGACGGACAAAGAGGACCAGCTTGAACGGTTTTAAGTGGAGCGCGATGAGGACTCCGACGCCGGTCAAGAGAGAATAACATGGGCGTGGTAATAAGACGCATTAGTAAGATAGCTTCGGTCAACCGTCTGAGGAAAGAAAGCATTTGTGCTGGCGGGGGCAGTGTCTAAGCAAGCTCTTCTTTATCCTTTTCGTCTTAGATCTTACTAACGGCTTCTAGAAACGCAGTGCTTCTTCGAAGGACTTAGAGTCCTATGAGTTATAGGTGTACTATTGTGGAGAGAGTAAGCCCCCTAACCCGTTGGTCAAATCCTTTCTGCTCGCATCTTTACTCCGACGAAGCCAAGCGGACAACAGCGTCTCCCGCAGAGGGAGCGAAAGGGCGCCCCCTATCCCACAACAAGAAGAGAAAACTCGGAAGCACGTGCAATTCCCAATTTAATCTATTTCTAGGTATCGTTGAATATAACTTCATCTTCTAAAACTAACGAGGTTTAGCGACGCAGCAGCGAGCGCAACTGGACAGTCTGAACAAAAGGCGGCCACCAACTATCAAGGTAACTTCTCTTCCTCTCCTACAACGCTCACTGTACCCAGTAGTGCTCAACTGCGACGAACTGGTGATCCAGTTCGCCATTGCAGGCAGCTTTCCTGCCATATCGGTGATTATGCAATACTTGACATACCGCAACACTTCTAATACGAAAGCGACATACCGCAAGCTCCGGGGCACCATTCAAAGCTTCAAGACTAGCTATCCATAGCCCGCACGGACTTGACCAGCCTTTACAAGCATCCCCACGAGGAGCAAGCGGCAGGAGGACAACTACGCCGCACCACTGTGCACCACATCAAGCCCTCACAGCAGCACGTCAAACAGCTTGAAGACAGCAGCTCGAAGGTGCTCCGCACCATACTCGAAAATTTAGAGCAGAGCCACAGATGCAAGCTGCATTGAGTAGAACTATCGACGATGGGCGACTAAGCCCCACAAGCGTTTTCCGGATGCGTGAGAGCGGGCCTTATTCGATAGCATCAGTCCAACCCCATGCGGGTTGAGCTTCCTCGTTCCACGGCGGAGGAAACGGAAGTGGCTACTTAAAGCAATGATATCAAGAAGCGCATCGTAGAGGGCCGAACGCGGTAGTGGCAACCTGGTAAGGATGACGCCGCTCGCGAGCAGCTGAGCTTTCGTAGTCAATGTGATAACGATCTGGGCCGATCTCTCTCTCGCCATGGAGAAGACCGTCGATGTGGCGAAGACAGCAGTAGACCGCACCCTTAGGATAAACGAATCCGGAGAAGTGACGATAAGTCAAGAACGGCGACAGAGCGAGCTCTCGTTACGAGCGGCGCCAAAGGTGTCGCAGCAGCCTTGGCCAATTGTACACTGATGATGAGCAGCGCGGTTAAAGTGGCGCAGAATCCATAGCCTGATTCACCTCCCACGAAATTCTTTTAGTGCCGACTGGCGCGTAATCCAAGCGGTTTCTTGAGGCGGGAGCGCGATGCGGACGAGGACATGCCTAGGGCCTGCTAGTTGGGTATTGGAGCAATTGGGATGGAGAGTTCATTACTATATCTGTCTGTTAAAATGTCTTGCTTTGCTAACGAGCGGCGGGAAGCGTTGAACTACAACTTGGATCTTTGATGCTGTATTTGGGAAGAAGATTCATCGATCCTAGCTAGAGCTCGCACCTATGGTGGGCGCACTAGTTGTGGAAGAGTAACCAGAGGAGGTGGACTTAGAATGCCTCCCAGGCCGCCGCCTATGGCAGATGGCGGAAGCGACTATATAATAAGAGTAGAAGTCCGCGGTCTACAAAGTCGCAGAAGTAGGGCAACCTTCCTCGCCAGGATTTTAATGGACCGTGAGCCCTGCTCCAAAAGCGTTATCGGCGAAGCGAGAAAGCTATAGCTCATGCCGACATCTATAATGGGTTATTTCGCAATTTAGGGCTATTGACGACGGATAAGGGCACTGATGCTAGTAGATTGGGGTCGGATAAGGCCCAAATGAGCTGAGCTGGTAGCGACGAATAGATTAATGAGGGTGTGGTGGTTCCGCGCGACTGCAGTTCGACTCCAGCGTGGTTCCGCCTCGTGATAGGCATTCAGATCTGGTGACATCTTCCCCCTTCTCTGTTTCCGCTCCTCGACGAATAATCCTTGTAACCTTGATATTAGACAAAGATTCCTGCAATGCCAACCGCTTTCAGACCAGCCGAACAAACGGAAGGGCGCGGCAGTATCCGGCGTCGAAGGGATCCCTATAGGAGAAAGGGAGAAGAGATTCCGATGGGATAAGGGTTCTGATTGAAGAAGGGATCGTAATTAAAGAAGTATTCCAATTGGAGAAGGCGAAAAGAACTATGATTGGGGAAGGATTCCAGTGAGAGGCAGAGGCCTCTAGGAGAAGAGTAGAAAGATTTCGATCAACAAAGATATGTAAATTTCAGACAGGGTTCCAATAGAAGGAGAACTTCCAATAAGAGAAGGAATCGGCTGGGGAGGGGGGAGATTCAATAGAGTAGATTTCCAACGCAAGAAGAGAAGAATATGTACAGAGGTAGTGGCACAATATAGCAGGCCCCTCATGATCGAAGGCCGTGTTCAGATAACGTGAAGTCAGGCAGAAACCGGCTCCGCCCCACCACCATGCTTCAACGAACCTTCAAACTCTCGGCATCTGGCTAACCAGTCGCAAACTACGCCAGTAGCAGGCGGCGCGCCCTACTGCTCTGCACTCCGCTATTACTGACGTAATTCGCAACCTGTTGATATACTACCTGCTAGACTGATGTATCTGCATTGCCATTGATATTGTCATGAAGAAGGCCGCTGGTGATCAGATCCGTTTCTTGCAATGCCTCTCCCTGGGCTTAGATAAACTCCGCCGTCAGTCTCGCCTACTCAATCTGCTCTCATATGTTCGACGCCTTTAGCGCGCGCGACTGGTAAACAGGCAACAACGAGGCTGAGTTGATGCGACTGGAACCACGAGCGAGTTCTGAGAAGTCTTTAGGTTAGAGAAACGCCGCCTTTGTGTCTACTATGTCTAACGCGCAGGTTAAGCTGTAGAAAACCTTCTAGAAGCATGGTAACCGCCCCAGTGGCATTTTGAGCTACTTGCCAGAGCGATCCCCTTCTTGTCCTTGGTCTCAACCTTCACCTCCTTAGTCGTCGTTCTCAGATTCGGTATTATAACCTGTTTCCTCGCGCGTTAATATCTGCTCTCAAATAGTTTTAATTCCCTTATCCGCAACGAAGAGCAACCTGGTATTGAGAAGCGGAGGGTATGGTTGCGCAGCAAATCGCCCGTGAAAGGGCCAGATTAAGAACGAGTGATAAGATGGTACTGGCCGAAGGACATAGGAGCAAAAGAAGCAAAATCTAGGGCGGAGAATACTATGAACTAATGTTAGATGCTGCGAACACAGGAATAATAGCGGATTAAACTTTTCGAGAAGTCGTTTACTATCACAGGGGTTAAGTTTAATCACGTCGCCAACGTTCTAAAAGAATACGCTGACAAGAGGGAGCTAAGGGAAAAGCTTAGCAGAGGTCAAATTGTACTTCGTTCAAACTCTATCCATGAAGCTATCATGAGGAAATAGGGCCTTAGCCCTGAATAGGTAGCTTGGATGGTACTCGCGGATAGCACTGGTATGACCCCGCATGATATTGAACCGGATTGTAGCGCCATTTCCTGGAAACGTCCAGCTCCAACTGTGCGACGAGGCGTGCTTC